AAATATATGTCATACTGAACGTTTCAGCTTGTTTATGGTGAGTAAATAAAAACTGCGTCGTACAAACAACTGTTTACTTTCAGTTTGAGTTTATCGTGACTTACGATCTAAAAACTAGAGACGTTCCGAAATCCTGTTTTGGCCGGATCAGAACTCGGCCAATACGGAAAAAAAATCTGTATTGGCCGAGTTGACATCTTATATTGCATATGCAGTTTTCATCATTTTAAGTACAATAACAGTGTAGTTAATTAATAATGATACAGTTACAGACTCTGCTGCTATAACTTTGTGAACAAAGATTCATACGCACCGCGTGGGTATAACCGTATTACTAATTTCCGATTATTAAAATCTTCGTAAATCTTGATAAAGACCAGTTTCTATCCAATGGATATCAAAATGATTCCGATTATTACTTTTTTAATGATTGTAAAGTTGAAATGGCATGAAAGGCTGACATTATTTAGGAGAACTATTTTGTCTAGCGATTGCTGATCATTGGAGGGTAAAAAGTCCAACACCATAACAAAACGGATCTATTTATCATGTATACATACCGATTGTTTACGATTGTAAGACATGTGCATAAAAGTGAAAGCTCGAATAAATATGAAAAATATAACAAAGGGATAGCTCCAAATACCATTTAATAACAAAAAACATATGGACAGGTCAAGATATCTTTTTGGTAAATAAAATAACGTATGTAAACTGGTTCCCGTCCGACTACAACACTTTAACAAAGACTTTGTTCGAGTGAAGCGTAATACAAGCAGATTCCAGTTAGTATGTAAAATAGTAAATATGAAACCGAGTGCGGTAGGCGGAGGCATAATCAACTTCCGTTAGTTCTGGTCAATGGTATCGGAAACATGCCGCTGATAGCGTCATTTTCCAAAAAAGGTCCCAAAACTCAGGACATTTGAGTCCTTAGAATGACTGAGGGAGACAATTGATACCTATTTTCATAAAGAAGTTTAGCAAAATTTTTAATGTTGGGAGAAAAAAACTAAAAATGTTTTTTTGAAATTCATACAGTGACACCCAGATATCAACTGTTGAAAGCCATTTTTGTTGAGCCTACAACATTTATGTCGGTGAAGCTAGAAATAGCAATCCTACATTCAGTCATCATTGTTGACAGCATAAACATTCAGGTTAAAGATCTACATTCAAGGCAAATTTTGCCGAAATTGTTAGTAGACACTTTAAAGGAGTGATTGCCCTTAAATAGCTCTAAATGTTTGAATTATGCTTTAAATTTTGCATGTGTGCTTTGTTTTTTATTTGTGCTTGAAATCATTATTTGCTTAATTTTTAGTTGTGCTTAATATTTAGTTGTGCTTAAATTTTAGTTGTGCTTCAATTTTAGTTATGCTTCAGTTTTGGCATGTTTAGATGTGCAGTTTAGTAGTGCTTTGTATGTATTTCAATGTGCCTGTGCTGTATCTATGCATTGAAATAACTGCTGTTTATATATCTTATCTGCATGTTCTGTGTTTAAATGTTATGTATATGTTATTAATATTTGGTAATAACATGCTCCGCTAGGCGCAGCTTGATACAACCACAGAGGTCGAACCCTGAACAGTTGGGGCAAGTATGGAAACAACATTCAAGCTCGATACAGCTCTGAATTTGGATTGTGATTAAATATTTGACACAGCATAGGTTTCTGACACAGAATGAATGTGGTCTAAAGAACTTAAAAAAAATGTATTTACCTATTCAAACCATATCATTATTATTTGCTTTCATACATGTATATAAATCAGAAATAACCAACTTAAAATGGAAAATTTTAAAGAAAAAAAAAAGGAAAAAAAGGAAAAAAAAAAAATAGAGGAAAAAACAAATCCCCCCCTAATTTTTTGAACCCCCTTATGATTCATCACCCCCAAACTCAATCCCAGCCTTCCCTTTGTGGTATGGTACCTTGTGTACAATTTCAGAGAGATCCATACACTTGAACACAAGTTATTGTCTGGAAACTAGAAAAAATGCTTGTTTTTTGGCCCCTTTTTCCTAAACGATTAGGGCAATTACCCCCAAACTCAAACCCAGCTTTCCCTTTGTGATATGGAACCTTGTAGTACACTTTCATAAAGATCCATACACTTACACACAAGTTATTGTCTTGAAACTAGAAAAATGCTTGTTTTTTTCACCTTTTGGCTCCTAATACCTAAAATTATGAGGCAAATACCCCCAAAATCGATCCCAGCCTTCCCTTTGAGGTATGGTACCTTGCAGTTCAATTTCAGAGAGATCCATATACTTGAACACAAGTTATTGTCTGGAAACTAGAAAAACGCTTATTTTTGGCCCCTTTTTGGTCCCTTATTCCTAAACGTTTTGGACAATTACCCCCAAACTCAATTCCAGCTTTCCCTTTGTGATATGGAACCTTGCAGTACAATTTCAGAAAGATCCATGCACTTACACATAAGTTATTGTCATGAAACTAGAAAAATGCTTATTTTTTGCCCCTTTTTTTGCCCCGAATTCCCAAAATTTTAAGGCAATTACCCCCAAAATCGATCCCAGCATTCCCTTTGTGATATGGAACCTTGTGGTACAATGTCAGAGAGATCCATACACTAACACACAAGTTATTGTCTGGAAGTTACAAAAATGCTTATTTTTGGCCCCTAATTCCTTAACTGTTGGTACCATAACCCCCAAAATCAATCCCAACCTTCCTTTTGTGGTATTGAACCTTATGGTAAAATTTCATAGAGATCCATTCACTTAAACTAAAGTTATTGTGTGAAAACCAATGTGTCTTTGATTTGACGACGACGAGGACTACGACGCTGACGCCAACGTCATACCAATATACGACCACAAAAATTTTTTTGCGGTCGTATAAAAAGCTCTCAAGAGCTTATGTTTGTACATTGTACTGTTATATGTGAACAGAATAAAAATAAAACTTTCATATTCGTATTCATATAGTCTACAATGTTGGAGAGTGTCCATTGTTGAAGATGCACATAAACCTAGGTGAGTGACACAGGCTCTTTAGAGCATCTAGTTCAATCTATTTAGAACCATAGCTCCTGGACGACAATATTGAAAATTATCAATATTTAACTTGACCTCCATTTTTTCATCAGTAATATTTTCAAAAATTTAAAATCATTGGTCCAGTGGTTCAAAAGAGAAAGTGCACGGAAAAGACATAAAGTGCCATTTTCCAATAGTTAAAGGACTTTTAACTCCTGAATGGAAAAGTGATAATTGTCAATATGGAACCTGATCTCCATTTTGTCATCAGTATCAACATATTATTTGTAACTATGGTATTCACCCCGAATTCAATCTGAATTCAAATTAAGTTATTGGTTGAAACATTGTTGAAGCAACCATTATTAAATAGTGATTCAAAGTTGAACATCAACTTTGATTCAACATTGATACAAATATGCAAAATCTAATAATAAATCAACATTGATTCAACATAGAAAATAAACTTTGATTCAATGTTTAATCAATGTTGTGTGCCTGCTGGGAACCACAAGGACCACAACTCTTGAATGGTAAATGTGAAAACTGTCAATATCGAATTTTACCTCTGTTTTGTTATTGGTATCAGCATATTAAAATTTGAAAAGTATTGGTCAAACGGTTCACAAGTTACTGCATGGAAACAGTTGGCAACCGCCCGCACGCCCTCTGTACTACACCATTTTAATAAAAGAACAGAGTTCCAATGTCCCCCGCGTTGCACATATTTTATCTATCCAAGGTACAAAGGAAATAACTAAAAAAAGCACTTTTTTTTTGTTCTTTAAAACTTTCAATTAATATCTTAAGAGAAATGAAGACTTCAGAGCAAATGCAATGTGATTTCCATTATAATTTATATTTCCAAGGGGCATAATTCTTTAAAAATATTTGATCAGAACTTATTTTCGAAAGTGTCAAAGACAATGCTGATAAAACCTTTGATATAAGTTTCATAAAATTCTGGCAAGAATTGAACACATGAGAGCAATAACATTGCAATTTTCCATATAATCAATATTTTAAAGGGGCATAACTCTTTTATAAATAATTGATTGGCACTGATTTTTGAACTCTTCAAGTACATTGATGATATAAACCTATAATATAAATTTCATAAAAATCTGGCAATAATTGTACACATTAGAGCACTCATAAGGCAATTTTCCATATAATTAATATTTCCAAGGGGCACGACTCTTTTGATAATTATTGATTGGCACAGATTTGCGAACTCGTCCAAGAAATTGCAAATATAAACCTATGATTTAAGCTTCATAAAATTCTGGCAAGAATTGTACATATGAGAGCACTTACAATGTAATTCTCCATATAATTTATTTTTCCAAGGGGCTTAACTCTTTTAAAAATAATTGATCTGCACTGATTTTCGAACTCGTCCAATACATAGCTTATATAAACCTATGATATAAGTTTTATAAAAATCTGGCAAGAATTGATCACATGAGAGCACTTACAAGACCCGATGGACGCCCGGTATTTCCATGCCCTCCGCAACGCATTACGCGGGGGACAATAACACAGGCTTCTGATTTTGGACAGGCCCCTGATCTGGGATGTTCAGATTTTGTAAAGTGTAGTCAAATTAGTCGATTTACAAAATTTTGGATACATTATATTGCCAAAACGTAAAAGAGTACCAGTGGCTTCTATACATGTCAGAGGTTAAATTTTAGTAAATTAATAGACTAACAACAATGTTTATTTTGGCTTGCAGATGCTTATATGGGAGTCACAAAATCTTTCCCAAAATGGAGGTCAAATGACTCTTATTATTTCAAGGTTAAGTGGGTGGACAAGACAAAAGTTTACTTGAGTCCATTTTTACATATGAATAAAGTGGTTACGTGATTATATGGATGCATTTTGCTTTCAAACAAATTAAAGTCACTCTGACCAACATTTTATGCTACAATGGCATATACGTTTTCAGATACCAAGTGACCTAAAATAATTCTTTTTAGTCATTTTTATACATATTTTTATTGATATATTAAAATCCTGGCACCATCCGCCCTTTCTTTTTGGATCGTTTAATCTTTTTGTCTATTTTAGCTTGTTTTCTAGAATCTATATTCTTCTTTCTTTTATCTTGCTGAGCTTTCATTCGATGTTCAGTCTGAGATGTTCTTTCATCCCACTGTTTCTTCCGTTTTTCTTTAAATTTCTCCTTCTTTTTCAAACTTTTCTTTAACAAATTTGGATCGTCTTTTATCTTTTCACCCTCAGCTTTAGCCATAACTTTTTTCCAAGACTCCTTACTTGCAACAGCTTTGGCAGCCTCAGGATTTGTTTCTTTTAGTTTTTCTATTTTCTGCTTTTTCTTCTCTACTTTCTCTAAAAGTCTCTTAAAATCCTTCCCTTTTAAGTTATTCTGTGGGGCCTCTTTATCCCCAGAGTCAACAAAGTCAAATTTACTGAATACCATTTTTCCAGTTTTATCCTTTACAGGTGTAACAGCTGGTTTCTTGACAGGAATGTCTCCATTAATATCTGGTTTCGTCAAATTACCTTTATTTTTTTCTTCCTTTTTTGTCATTTTCTTTTTCAGCTTGCTTTCTTTCCTTCTTAATCTTTTTTTCTCTAAGAATTCATCTGTAGTAAGATTTCTTTTACCTGTTTCAAAATAGACGAAATTAAGTATGGTTATACAAAAAGATGCTCCTATCATTTTGAGCTTCCAAATATTTAAAAATAAACTGTTAACACAGAGATATGTCCTCGTCTGTATGTAATTTTGAGAGTATAATGCAAAAGTTGATATTAAATGGCAACAGCTTTATATGTAAACTATGCAAAACCTGCTGCCCAAAACAGCACACTTCAGTCGTGTCATAGGAGGGACAAAAAATGTAATTTTTAACTCCTATCCCAATTATTTCCCCCCCCCCCACCATCACTTTAATGCATTAGTGAACAGACATATTAAAATTGAAATAATAATGCCAAAACATTGTTTACAGATATATAATAAGCATCTACATCAAGAGCACATGATACACCCTTATTGTGCATATTGAAAGTGTGGCAAAAATAAAATGTGATATTTAGATGGGATTTAATTAGAAGCAAATAAAATTGCTCTGTAGAAAAACATTCACGAGGGCACCCGTAGGCATATAAATATTGTGTCAAATATGACTGTTAATAGTCCAATGATTCTAGAATGACAAACCAGAAAAATTTTCAAAATCAAAAGCAAGACTACATTTTGTTTGATGTAAATTTGATCCAAGCATACTAGAGCTAGTTTATGCCTTTTATTTATCTGACAGTCAAAGTCCCATAAGTCTGGTATGACATAAATGTATCAGCATTCTTTTTAAATCCGTTGTGTGTTTAATTCACCAATTGCAACAAATATGTAAAGTTTCCATTAAATCATTCCAAGGACACTCAAGTTAAGATACAACATTTGAAAAATTTACTTAAATCTGACAATCAAAGTCCAGCTACTCTGACATGACAAACCAGAAAATTAAAAAAATCAAAAGGGAGCTTACACTTCCATCAATCCAAATATTATGATAAAATTACATAATATAAGTTGAAACAAATTTGAGTTATAGTTTAGTGTTGAGGGATGGACGGATTTTGGTATACCATAAAATGTACGGTCTTCTACAGGTTTATAAAAATAGCTTACTGGCATGTTAGGACTAGATTCATTTGAATATTGATAGTATTTTTTTTTTAATGATTTAAGAGCATCATGCTTACAATATAATTAATTATAGAAAAAAAGACATGAAATAGACCCTACAAGACAGAACTCCCACTTTGGTTTTCTTTTGCTTTAAATTACCAACCAATTTCTTGATAAACCTAATCAAATAAAAGAACAGAATACAGATATCCTCAGCAACAGCATATATTTTATCTGTTCAAGGGCAATCACTCAAATAATTTAGTTTTAAAATTTGTCCTTTTAAACTTTTTCCTTATATCAGACTACGAATGTAGTGGTGAGAGCACTTACAATGCAATTTCCATATGATTTCAATTTTTAAGGCACATAACCACTGTAAAACCAGTTGATAGGCCTAGATTTTCAGTCGTTCAACATGGAAATCATAAAAATCTGACGAGAAATGTAGGTATAACAGTGCTAACAATGCAATTTTCCATATGATTTTCATTTCCTAGAGTATTACTCTCTTTGGAATAGTTAATCAGTAAATGATTTTCAAACAAATCTGAGACATTCCTGATATAAACCTTATATATGAATTTCATAAAAATCAGACATGAAAAATAGGTGAGTTCACTTACCATTGCTTGCAATGCAATTTACTATATAATATATATTTCAACAGGACATCACTCCCTCAAATAAAAACATTTTATTGGTGCTGAATTTTTTCGAACTTACACAGACACTGCCGATTAATCCTTTTTTTAATAAAAATCTGACAAGAAATGTAGGCTTGCAAGCCCTAACAACATGTACAATGATAATTTCCATAGAACTCACATAAATTTCCAAGGGGCATTACTTCTGTAAAAATAGATGGTCAACGGGTACGATGATTTTTGAACTAGTTTGAGACATTTATTTAAATATACAAACATTTGATATAGAATTCCTTAAAATCTGACAAGAAATGTAGTTGTGACAGTGCCTACAAGACCAGATGTACAGACAGAAGTACATGCCCAGGCATTTTTATGTCCCCAGCTTTACATTGCAGCAGAGGACAACACAAAATCATTTAATACCTGACAGTTTCAAAAAAAAAATACTTTACCTTTCAGCTCTTCAATCCTTGCGAATAATTTTTCTTGAAGCATCTGTGACCTCTCATTTCCAGCTTCTGTATCTGTTGATTCTTTTTTGTTCTTTTTGTGTTTCTTATGCTTCATCTTTTCTTTAATTTTGCTGTCTGAAAATTGATTTTGTGTTCATTCATTAAAGCTTATGTTGAATTTATTATCACAGACAATCATCACCAAATAACTTTTAATACAGTTACATATTCCTTCATCCAATTTTGAGCTAAAATCTCATTTAGAATAAGTTAAATTCTAGTAAAAAATCTTATTAGAATTCAAATTTTGTCTAATTAATTGTCTATTTTCATGATTTTTCAAGTTCCAACTTTGTTTTCAAATTTTTATTTTGTCTAAAGAGGGAAGCAATTTATAAATAAGGTTAAACTAGTTTGCTAGTAATAGAACCAATGAAACAAAAAATAACACTGTGAAAAACACAAATAACTTATCCTGTCACATTCAGTATGTGTCTGTCATTTAGTCAGGAGACTGTAATTCAATGGTTGTGGTTTGTTGCTCATTTATTGTTTTGTAAGTAAATCAGGCTGTTAGTTTTTTTGTTTGAATTGTTTTACATTTGTCATGTTGGGGCCTTTTATACCTTGCTATTTTGGTATGGGATTTCGGATTGTTGAAAACTGAATGGTGATCTATAATAGTTGGTACATGTACATGATGTAACTTCTACATCATTTGGTCTCTGGTGGAAAGTTGTCTCCTTGGCAATCATACCATACCTTCTAATTTTTAAGTTCAGTTAGACTATTTTTAGCTCTGACAGGTTAACTCTCCTGCAGTGTTATACCAAATTTATTCCTAAAATATTCATATTTCACTTTTGAATTCACATTTACATAAACAGTTTAAATATTAACCATACATTTGCCATATGAAAATGTTTCATACAAATCACCCAAAAATAAAATGTATCTAAAAAAACTATTTATTTGTTGTAGATTTTCTTACATGTCCCTGTAGAGTTATCATTGTCATCTTGCATTTTTGGTGCTGTTTTATTTGAAAAACTACCTCTGTTCCCAAACTTTTTGCCTAGAGGTTTCCCTTTTGATAAGTACATCTCCTCTTCTGAAAGAAACATATAAATGTAAAAGTTTATCTTTTGAGGTCAATTTTCAAACTTTTGATATATGTACACATGAATTTTTTTCTTAATGATATAGATATAAGTATATGAAAATTACAAATTCTGATAAAATAAAAATTACAAATTCATAGACATTGTCCGAAACAAAAATTGTTCAGGAGAGTCGAAAAGTTAAATATTTTATAATGTTTTTCTGGACTAAAATTAAAGTTGCTACATTCAACTCTTAACAAGACACTTTGAATGCTATTTTCAGGTACATGCATGTATAAACAAGACAATTTAAATGCCATATTTAACGCTTTCAATTTTAACAAGATAGTCTGAATGCCATATATATCCAACACTTAGCTAGACAAGTTGATAGATTGCAAAAAGCAATTAATTTTCAGATAGGCAACAATGGTAGCCCTTTCGAGATACAGACTTTAGAAAGTTGATTTTTTTAATGAAACCTTGCTACAATTAAAGAAAAATATAAGGACAGTGGTTTTAGTCCAAAATATATACATTTTGCCTTTGGTTTACTTTTATAAATTTTGACTTTGATGGAGAGTTGTCTCATTAGCACTCATACCACATCTTCTTATATCTATATTATGTAGGTTCCTGTTGTTTTTCTTAAAGTAATTTGTACTTATCTCCCTTGTTTATCAATTTTGCACTAAAACAAATGGGTCTCACCTTAGTGTAGAAAAGACTTCTCAGTTCAGTTAGGGCTAAGGAAAATATATTATTTTGCCTTTGGTATAATGCAGAGAGCACAAAGTCTCTATTAATAAAAATAAATGGGGAATGTGTCCATGGGACACAGATGATGCCCCCACTTGCATATCATATAAAGTTATAAAGGGACTAAACTGAAGAACGGTAAAAGTGACGCTACCCAAATTTGTACTTGATCTGAGTTTTGTGGTTTTAAGCTAAGTATTGTGTATAAGTTTCATAACATTTGGTTGAGGCAAACTTAAGAGAACGGAAACGAAAAATTCAGCAATTTTTCCATTTGTAAAAGGGCATAACTCTAGAACAGTAAAAGTGGCACCACCAAAATTCAAACTTGATCTGTGTTTTGTGGTAATAAGCATTGTGTATAAGTTTCATAACATTTGGTTGAGGCTAACTTAAGCAATCTGCAGCATCATGATCATAATAGCATTAATACAGAATGAAATAGAAATCTAGTATTTGAGACTCACCACCTGTCAAATTTGAACAAACCTTCAGTCATGAAGGTATTCAATTTTGACAGGTCTTGCTGTAAATACTAACCATCTGAATCATCTTCAATCACCTGACTTTTATCCATTAGAATATGTGGAGGAACCATATCTAAATGATATTTAATAAAATCGTAATCGTCTTGTGTGGTGATAACAGCAATATTCATTCCTAATCCTCCTTTATTTTCCTTCTTGGCTGCCACTTCTGTCATGTCTGTCACAGTGCCGAAATTATTCACATCTTTCTGTTTTAATTTTGTATGGCCTTCATTTTCCGAATATTCAGTGTCAGCTTTATGTTTCGATTTCTTGCGATGAATGTTTGTACTGCTTTTTTCCGACACTGTTACCATAGAAACATTGCCTGATAAAAAATTTTGTTTAGCAGAAATTTTGTCTTTATCCTTCTTTAAAATATTGTTCTTATTACTTGAATGAGACACAGACTCTTGATTAATTGCTGACTCAGCAATTTTATCTAGTTTCAACTTTTTTCCTGATTTGGTCATGTTGTCCTGACTGTGAAAACTGTCTGGTTCGTCAATATCTTGGTCATCAAGTGATTCAACAACCCTTTTCTTGTTTTTCTTTCCCATGCCCATGGATGGAGATTGTAATACAGTTTACAAATCTGGAAAATGAAATAATGACAAATAACAATATATACATCAGTCTAACTGAAACAAACACAGGATATCTGTTTAATGGGTGGAACGATAGTATTTACTTTCCAAGAACTAGGTTGCTCTTTTGTGTACCCCTCTTAGGTCAATATATCTGAACACTGATTGGACAAACATACTGCATCTACGAACATATTTTTCCAAGCTGAGGGATGAATCAGGTGTAGAAAAATATAAAATAAATTTTACGTATGTGTACCAGGCGAAAATGAATTTTTGAGAATTTTTGTATTCATTACCGGTTAACTGGCTTCAAAGCATTAGTGGCCTTAGGTTTATAAAGATAGCGGGAAAAGAAGACAGTCGTCATACATATTCATATTTCTTACTGAATATTATAATGAAAGTACTTCAGTTTAATATTGTGTGTGTAGATTCCAAGCCAGTGTTAAAGTGGTTAAAATTCTAAAAAATTTTGTCATAAAATCTTCATAGACAGCTAGAAATTTTTGCATACATACAAAGTCTTACCTTTTGTGTGCTTGTTGGTGCAAAATATTTCCAGAAATATCCAAAAGTAATGGTAAAATAAGATAAGATTTCATTTGAGGTGTGCAATGTTCTACTTCACGGTTAAAATGGTTTCCCTGATTTCCCAAGATCCTTCACTTCCAGAGAGTATAAAATACCAAACTCCATAAAATTTGATGGACCCCAATATCTGGAATGTTCGATTTATATTATCCGGAAATTCGGGGCTGCCAAATTTTACTGAGTTTGATACTTTATACTCTCTGGAAGTGAAGAATCTTGGGAAATCAAGGAAACCATCTTGAAATCAAAGTAGATCATTGCACACCTCAAACAGTCAGGGGTACTACTTAAACAAGTGATTTCAGAATCACTCCCTCGAGTGATTTTGGCTGTGAAATATTAAAAATTTTCACACAGACTTTTTAAAATCACTGAAACAAGTAATTTTAGAAGTTAAAATGTAATCACTTTAATAAGTGTTTATAACATTTTCTTGATATTTTTCCCACAAGCTTGATTTTTTTATTGGTAAAAAGACAACAATTCCATTGAAAAAACAACTATGTATATGCAGAAATTGTCTTTTGCTTGATAAGCCTGACACTTTTACAGTTTTTTTAAAATATGCAAAAACTGGAATAGTTTGTAGATCAGGTCATAACCTTGAAGTAGATCATTCTAACTCTAAAGAAAACCAATCAGGTTACCTAATATTGTTGATCTTTGTCTGATAGTAAGAGTAGTTAATGAATTTTTGATTACAGAAAAATTCCCAAGGGTACTTTTAAAAGCTTTAGTGCACTAACTTACTGCCCAAGTGCACTGGTGAAATTAATATACAAAGAAAAAGGGATAATTGATTTATGTAGGAAAATTATAGAAAAGATTGTGAAAATATGGAAAATCAATGAAATTAGCATTTGAAGATCAAAGAAAACACTAAAATCACTTAAATAGGTGATAACTGAATTTATCAAATCACTGAAATAAGTGATGATGAAATCACTTGTTTAAGTAGCACCCCTGACTGTCAAATAGAATCTGAACTTATTTTACCATTACTTTCTGATATTTCTGGAAATATTTTGCACCAACAAGCACACAAAAGGTTAGACTTTGAATGTTTGCAAAAATTTCTAGCTGTCTATGAAGATTTTATGACAAAATTGGGTCTCAAATTTCTGTCCAAAATTCCCTCTCTCAGTCTAGAAGAAAAACTGGCTTCAGCGTACCATGCATAATGACGTCGTAGGAAGGAGTCATAGAAAAAAAATAAAATAGCCTCTCAAGACGTCATAATTTTTTGGACTAGATAGAGTAGTTAATGCAATATAATGGTATTTTTTTTTTAAAGCTTTAGCACAATAATAAAATTGAGAATGGAAATACAAGTCAAGGGTGTAACTTAAATAAGTTATTAGAGAAAAATAACATACATTTGTTATTGTGGACTAAAAAATCAAAAACTGTGATAACATACATGTATGTATGTTACATGTTTTAAAGGGGCAATATACATCCTTTACTTTGTTAAATTGTATACAAGTTCTATTGATATCATTATTGTCTTTATGTATACTAAACTTTAGAAAGATATAACAGTTCATAGTTTGCCAATCATACATGGTACACCTGTTATTACAGAAAATATATGCCTGTAATAACTAAATGGTGTTATTACAGCTTCTCTACATCTCTTCAAAGCCTTTGCTCAGACATATATATCACAATGTATTTTAATTTATTGTAATAAATAATGATCAGAGCATGCAATGAGGTTCTGTGCAAGATTCCAAGAAATTCCCAAGTGTCTCATTTAATAAGCCTTGTTATTAAAGCTTAGTGTATCCCTTAAAAGCCTTGTCTCATTGATTAACCATGCATGGTTGATAAAAAATGTATTAATTGAATTGGAAAATTAGTTTTCAAGGTTATGTATTAATTTACTGCACAAAGTTTCAAGAATTCCCAAGTGCCCACTAAAAATAAAAATATTTATAATATATTTAACTAATAACAACAGATTAAGAAAAAAAGAGAAGACAACTCATGAAAGTATCTGTAATAACACATGTATGTTATTTTTCTCTAATAACTCATTTAAGTTACACCCTTGACTGCTTACTGGCCTTACAAACACTAAAATTAATATTTAACAGCAAGGAATAATTGATCTATCTACAATGTAAACAAATTTTATCCAGAAAAAATTGTCATTGTGTTGAAAATTCATGAAATCTGTCAGTCGAAATAATCATGACGTCTTGAAAGACTTGAAAGATTGGAGCAACAAGACTTGATTATTCAGATGGTATTTTAATAATGACTAAGAAATATACAATTGGTATCGCCGTAGCAACGTTACGTAATAAGTTATTGTCCTGAAGGTTTGTGAGTAACGTTCCCGGAAAATCGCAGATATTACAAGACAGTTTTAATTTTTTGCAGTGACGCCCTTCATAGGACCTTGTAGGAAGACGTTACGGCAAATAATTAAAACAGCCTTTCAACAATTCACAATTATTTGGACTAGAAATCAGTATAATGAGTTTGTGCCATTAAACACTAAAATATTTGTATTGTATTCAAATCTATTTAAAGATCAAAGGAAACATAAAATCACTTATAAAGATGATCACTGAAATTTACAAATCACGAAAATAAGTAATAATTTAATCACTTGTTTAAGTCATACTCCCTGCTAGTTTTATATTTTAATTGATAATAATTCAAATGTTTGAACTGTTGAAAAGTTTTGCAAGTCTGTAAGTGTAACGACACAAAAAAACACCTACTAACCAAGTTAGCCTCAGCTTATGTGCCACTTTTGTACTGTAAATGTAATAAAAATGTCAATATATAACAAAATACATTACTATATTGTCATATCGGCTGAAAATATATGCTGTTACTTGATTTTGAAGATATTTCCCCACGTGTTGAAAATCCGGATATCAACAAATGTTAATAAAATATAACCAAAACGGTTAGGACAAGAAAAATCCGGAACATCTCGTCTTTGGACAGTTTCAGTTTCTAGCGATCCTAATATAAGACCTTCATTTAATTAATTGAAGATTATTCGCCGGTCGTCAACTATAAAAAGTGTTTATTACTTTACAAACAAAACACAAAAAAATATATGCATTGCAAAATAACTGTAGTTACTGGCTAGTCACCGTGACGGAACCTAGCCAGTAACTACATGCATCAGTGTCTCCTTAACCTGTATATGCTGCAAACTGCTAGAACACATTGTAGTAAGTAACATCCTAAAACATCTGGACACAAATAACATACTATTGGACAATCAGCATGGCTTCAGAGCAAAACGTAGCTGTGAAACAAGGTACCGGTACTCCTTACATTAACTTAGTAACCTTCATAATGGCATACAAACGGATCTAATTATATAAGCCTTCTCCAAGGCATTTGACAAGGAAACTCACAAAAAAAATATTAAGGAAGATGGATAATTATGGCATAAGGGGATATACCTGGAATTGGATATCAGCCTTCCTTAATAATAGAAGGCAACATGTTGTCCTTGATGGGGAGGTATATCTAGTCAAATGCCTGCGGTCAGTGGGGTGCCTCAATGCTCAGTCTTAGGTCCCTTACTTTTCCTGATTTTCATAAATGACCTCCCTGCAACAGTAACATCAAAAACACGCTTGTTCACAGATGACTGTATTTTATACAGAACATTTTAAAATCAGCAAGATTGTACCATCCTACAAAATGACTTAAACTGCCTAGCCAAATGGAAACAAACTTGAGATATGCAATTCCATTCAGAAAAATGCTACTCCCTCACTTTAACAAAAGCACAGTCACCATACAAACATGACTATGTACCAAAAGGCTACATTTTAGAATCCGTCAACACAGCAAAATATCTTGGTATCACCTTATCCAACAACATGTCATGGGATACCCATATTAACAACATCAGTGCTAAAGCAAATACGATCTTGGGCTTTTAAAAAAAAAACTTAGAAATAAACCAGGAAGAAACAAATCTATGGTACAATCAAACCTATGATACTCCTCTTCAGTTTTGTCTCCTAACACCAAAAACAAAATAATAACATTGAAAAAGTACAAAGAAGGACAGCACCGGATACGTCACCAACAGCTACCATAACACCAGTAGTGTCACTTCCATGATTGGCCATTTTAAATGGAAGTCACTTGAAACTCGCAGAAACATCAATCGAGTAATGATGTACAAAAATCACCAGGCGCGTAGCAACCCGTACGCAAAACGCAGTTGCGTACACATCGAAAATTATACAAAAATTAAAATATAGTACATCTAGTAAGAATAAAACATAAGTAATAAATTAAATTAGAAACTATTATAAAAACATGTTAATAATCCCTTTGTAACTATATTCTGTTCCTGAAATTACTTTTCATTTACGGAACCAGCATTATGATTATGTTGCTGATGCAAACAATTAAAATGGTCCTCGAGGTGTCAGAAAACAATTCTATGCCTCCTTACCCAGTCCTTAATCTTTTCTGAAGATTTTAAAATAACTAACGAAATATAATATGACGTTCTAGAGAGACCATGGACAACGATTCATTCTCATGATTTTCCTGTGAGGTATGGATAGTCTTAATAACTTACGTCGGCATAACAGATTTTTTAAACAGTCCAGGTTTAACGGGGGTGGTAAAGGGTAATTTTCGTGCATCGTGTTTGCCGTTTTTATGCCCCGCAACTTAAAGTTGGGGTCATATTGTTTTACCCCTGTCCGTCCGTCCCATTATGGGTATATAGTTATTCCAGATAACTCCTCCTACAGTTTGAATGCTAGGTAGTTTTCACTTTGCTGGCTGTTTGTACATACATTGAGTGTGTGCATGTAGTCAGGGTTTTGATTTTTATTGATATTTGCTCTTTTGGGAGATAGTTTAACTTTGTCATTTTTGAAGTATATACTTGCATAAGAGGTACATAGCGTTTCCGGATAACTTCTCCTACGGTGAACCATAGACCTATGTGCTCCCATGCTCAACTTTGTTTATTTTAAAATAACACTTTGCATCTGCGGGTTCATCATTTGTGTCTCCCAGACACAATAATATCTCAAAGAAAGTCCTACAATGACTTTGTTATAATACAATAACTTCAGAGCGGAGTGCCGGGCATCACTTTTTTTTTTATTGACAATCAGCGTGTTTTACGTTCGGTTGTGCAAGACGGGTGCCTCGTTCAAAGTGTTCCCCAACTTAATTATACGTGCTTCGAGATTAAAAGAGCTTATTTTCCATGCTTCGAGATTTAAAGTGCTTGTTTTCCGTGCTTGGTAAAATTAAAAGACTGTCGTTTTGGAAGTTAATAGAAAGAAATCGGAAATAATTTGATGATTTTCTTTAAAGATTTTGGGACTTCAAACGTATATATTATATATTTGCCAGTTTAAGGTTTCCAACCTATAATATGCGTTCGTTATAGTACGTTTTTTTTTATCATGCAACGTTCAGGGACGACATTATTTCCCGTTCGCCGTGAGATTGTTATTCCTTCTTTGTATTTAACATTTTTTCCGTGCAAGTACAACCCTTTACCATCCGTTAAAACATTACCTACCTAGCAACGAATATTATTTTTTAATTTAATTAAATCAAGCTCAACCCACTACACATTAGAAAATCCAAATTCCTAAGCCAACAGTACTTGTTTGTTTTTCTCTAATTAATACTTTTTTAAATTTTTTTTCCAAAGTTGACCTGTTGCTCATGAAAATAAGATTTCCGTGAGGTCATTTTAAGTCCCAGGAAATTGCGAGAATTTAGGATTTTGCACGATTTACCCGGGAACTTCTGGGGCCTTAGGCGGCCCCCATACCCCCTGCCGTTTGACTTCATCCTCCAGCAATGAGTACACATCATATTGGCCTACCTACGCCCCTGATCACACACAAACTTATAGAGTAAATCCAACATGTCCAAATCTTTACCATGTTTACCTTTCACCACAGCCAGTCAAAAACACCAGATTCACCAATTCACTACAATATCAAACATTCAGCACCAGAACATATTACTTTAAGTACAGCTTTTTCCCATTCACAGTTGTACTGTGGAATTCACTTTCACTAAACATCGTCAGTGTTAACTCTTTGGGTCAGTTTAAAGCACTGATCCAAAGTCAGTACATTTAGATATCTATCCTAGGCCTGTTTGTAAATATATGTAAATGTGTTTATTTTATATTTTTGCACAAAATTATTTTTTTTAATTTGCACTCATAAAATTGTTATCTTTTAACAAGTGTCTGTTTTCGATGCGCCGACGTATAGTCATCCATGTGCTGATGGATCGTCGTACGATGTAGATGTAGATGTAGATAAGTGGTAGACGTTCAGATCCCACGTAGTCTACAACATACTCCCGTTACATATAGCATTAACATTTGAAAACCATAAAAGAAACTAATCTCCAGATTTTTAGATAAATACTTTCCCAAACATTTGTGTGCATCTAAATTTTCTTGTGTAAATAGCCATGTAAACTTCGAAAGATTGTCTAAAGATTGAAAATAATTGCAGGTTAATGAAATTGCAGCAAAAACTCAGTTCTATTATTAAAAAGTAAAATCACAAAAATACTGAACTCCGAGGAAAATTCAAAAAGGAAAGTCCCCAATCAAATGGCAAAATCAAAAGTTCAAACACATCAAACGAATGGATAACAACTGTCATATTCCTGACTTGGTACAGGCATTTTCTTATGTAGAAAATGGTGGATTGAACCTGGTTTTATAGCTAACCAAACCTCTCACATGTATGACAGTCGCATCAACTTCCATTATATTGACAACGATGTGGGAACAAAACAAACAGACACACTAGGTAAAAATGTCAAAAATAGGGGTTCAGCAGTCAACATTGTGTTATCATCTTAATCACTATAAAAACAAACAAATGTAACGAAGAAGCACAAAAAGGCATACATCAAATTGAACATCCTCATTTTGCTTATATTATACGATTTTATTTATCTATGTAAAATCCACCCATAAAGGATGGAAGGTTTTAAGTACTGGCGTAAAATCGCGCGTTTGAAATTCGCACAGGTAGACATAAAATAATTTTGTCGTTCAAAGTATGACGGGATACATAAATAAGCATATAGCAATAGTATATATTAACATATAGTGGGCATTCAGTCACAAACTGTATCTTATCCTCAACTTTATTCAATGTACAGTATAAACATTTTCTAAGTGTTCTATTCACATAAGTATTTGCATATCTATCAGTCTCAATCCTTATTGGATGACACTTATTCTAATCTTACAGATTGATTGCCTTTATCTAAAATATTTTAGATCCAAATATTTTTCAAAACAAAATAGAGTTTTAAAGGAAAAATAACTATTTAGTTCGCCTTGATCTAATTGTAATATCTTATTTCTATTTTCCTTCCCGAAATGGAGATCTTGATATCTATATCATTAACGGAAAGCTTAATACTAAAATATATGATAAAAGAGATGATTTTTCATTTCCTATCGTTAATTATCCATTTTTAGATGGTGACGTTCCCTTGTCACCATCTTACGGTGTTTATATATCTCAACTTGTACGATTCGCTCGTGTATGTAACAATGTTTAAGATTTTAACGAGAGAAATTTATGTATTACTGAAAAATTATTACACCAGGGTTTTCGATATCATAAACTAGTCAAAACATTTACTAAATTTTATCATCGGTATAAGGACATCATTCGTAAATATAGCTCAACATGCAGACTTCTTATACGTTCAGGTATTTCACTTCCAATTTTTTATGGAAATATTCTTTATAAAGCACAAAAATGTCAGTATTCACCTCTGAAGCTAACAAAACCTTTAAATAGACTTATTAAGAAGGGATATAGTTACGATACTGTTGTCAGGTCATTAAAGATTGCATATTTTGGCGTTAATATTGATTCACTTATAGGGTCTTTGCATCGGCACTAAACACATTTATTTAAAAACCAGTTGTTGGCATGACACGGGTTATGTTCTTCTCATATATGTTATGATGGTATGATACTAAACCCCTAACGGGAAGGATTGTGCCTGATATTCATATGATGAAGACATAATCTTTCAACCAGTTTAATTGAAGTCTGGAGCTGGCATGTCAGTTAACTGCTAGTAGTCTGTTGTTATTTATGTATTATTGTCATTTTGTTTATTTTCTTTAGTTACATCTTCTGACATCAGACTCGGACTTCTCTTGAACTGAATTTTAATGTGCGTATTGTTATGCGTTTACTTTTCTATATTGGCTAGAGGTATAGAGGGGGTTGAGATCTCATAAACATGTTTAACCCCGCCGCATTTTTGCGCATGTCCCAAGTCAGGAGCCTCTAGCCTTTGTTAGTCTTGTATTATTTTTAATTTTAGTTTCTTGTGTACAATTTGGAGTTTAGTATGGCGTTCATTATCACTGAACTAGTATATATATTTGTTTAGGGGCCAGCTGAAGGACGCCTCCGGGTGCGGGAATTTCTCGCTGCATTGAAGACCTGTTGGTGACCTTCTGCTGTTGTCTGTTCTATGGTCGGGTTGTTGTCTCTTTGACACATTCCCCATTTCCATTCTCAATTTTATAGTTTTTATATAGCTTAATATCTTTAATAGATTTTGTGAAAGAGTAGATACTGGTTTTTGTCTCGCCTTGATCTAATTGTAATATCTTATTTCTATTTTCCTTCCCGAAATGGAGATACTATTAGTTTTTATATAGCTTATCTTTGATAGATTTTGTGAAAGAGTAGATACTGGTTTTTGTCTCGCCTTGACGGAGTCAAAAAGCGAGACATAGGTATGCTGTTTCCGGCGGCGGCGGCAACAATGTATTAGTTTGTGATTAGGTCTAGTTTATGGTGAACCACAAGTGGTAGGTCAATCATATTTGGTACACTCTAAAAATTGTGTTTAGAGCCTAAACACTTTCCTAAACACGTTTATGAAACCGATTTTTGACATGTTTTAAATCTAAACATGTTTAATATTTAATGTGCTAACAGCCTAACCGTGTCGAGCTATAAAGTGCTTAGAATGTAAACATGTTTAGCTGTAAAGTGTTTAGACTAGAAACATGTTTAGCTGAAAAGTGCTTAGACTGTAAACATGTTTAGCTGTGAAGTGTTTTATCTGGAAACATGTTTAGCTGTGAAGTGTTTTGTCAGGAAACATTTTTAACTGTGAAGTGTTTTGAATGTAAACATGTTTAGGTCATAAAGGGTCGTGAAGAAACATGTTTATCATTTTAGTGTGAGAAGCCGTTATTCATTAGGCCTAAATTTAACTAATTTTCCGGAAGGCTAGACTGTCAAACGTTTATTAATAGATAGCTCTCAATAAAACAGGTTTTTCATACCATCACAAAAAGGAACCAATGCATCAAATTAAGAAAATTGAAATTCCATATCAAATTGAATGTGATCAATACCTTTTCAATCTTAATGAGTGTTTCTTTACTTCAATTCACGTCATTTGACTATTGCATTTTTTCTTCATTTCAAATATTTGTAAAATAGTAAATGTCATGTTCTAGAACTTCTTGAAATGAAATTATCATAATACTAAGTCTAGCTTTAAAAACAAAATTACAACATATAAAACAAAGGAATTTATGTAATCATTTATTTCTAGTTGATCATCGAACAATCAAACATAAGTTCATAACAAGGTACATGTACATAATATTGTTAATGACCACTCCTACTTCTACTTGTACCCCATCCCCTGCAACAAAACAATTTGAAACTGTCCTGTTTTCATTTTGCAGGACAATAAGTCATGGAGCTTCTCCTTTCTTAGTACCCATCTGCTGTCACTGGCCTGAAATATAGAAAAAAAATGATAAGCAACTAAGTAGAATTGCTATTAAAATATTATAGTATACGAACTGCAACACCAAAGAGTAAGAGCATGATTTAAGACCCAGATAACAACGTTAAGACCAAGGTGGTATAAAAGCATAAATTTACTGATGAATCAATTGATAAATATTTTTTAATATTAAACTTCTTTTCATGCTTAATATTATTCATTTGTTCAAATATATATTGGCATTTTATAAATCAAATACACTTCTGATTCTTACCTGGCAACAGATTTGCCACTGTTCTTTACCTCCTCTTGTAGCATGTTAAAGACAGATGACGATTTCCTCTGCACTTCTCTCATCAGTCTAGAATAAAACAATACATGTATATAAAATTATAAGAATAGCAAAACCTCTTCTAACTATTGAATTAAACAAGCATCATTCTATTTATTTTGAAGAAAAGTGTTGATTCTTCATCTCGGAAGTGCTAACGAAAACAATGAACTCGAAATGACGCTGGATTTGCAAATGATGCACCACATCCTAGTAAGCCTCGGCAGATTCCTCTACCCTTCATGTTACATTAGTATAATCTGCCGAGGAGTACCGAACGAAAATGATCCTCAGAAACTCCTTTTCCAAGCACATAAATTAAAAATAAGTGAAAACTTGCATGATAGAACATAAAACAACTCCTAATATCTTTACACAAGATAGTTTGAACACTTAAAGCTCCTACAAGCACTTGTTTCGTGAGATGGTACCCCCACCCCCTTTTTCTCCTGCATTGACGATACGGTAGTGTACTTGTAAATAATGCTTATAATTGTCAAAAATCATTTAAAATTGGCAGTACAATATAAAAGACAGTAAAATCATAACTCCTTACCTTTCTGAAACAGTCAAGTTACGGTCAGTTAAGGTCAGTAGTAAACAGCGTGGCCTTTGACTTCGGGTTCTTTGTTTCTTCCTCCCGCTCAAAAGTTATCACGTGATATGAATGCCGTCTATGGCCTAAATGTGTTGTAGTTCTAAACGTGTTTAGGAAAGTGTCTAAATATTGAAAGTGCTTAGAATTAAAACACGTTTAGCTTCATATACTTGACGAAGTAGCTAAACATGTTTAGCACAGCAAAACGTTTATTGCGAAGTGCTGAGAGCCAAAACATGTTTATTTTTTTTCTGTTTAGAAATTAAACACTTTCCTAAGCACATAAGTCTTGCAACACGTTTAAATTCTAAGCACAATTTTTACAGTGTATGCAGTTGTATTAGCATTGGCGCATCTCATTTCCATGGAGATTATTTGGCCCTGCCCCCCTCAGTCATGGTCTATTGACTTTGAAACGTTTTCTTATTTTACATGTATTAGTTTGTGATTAGGTCAGTTTATGGGGAACCACTAGTGGTAGGTCAATGATATTTGGTATGCAGTTGTATAATCATTGGCATATCTCTTTTCCACGGAGATTATTTGGCTCCGCTTCCTTAGTCATGGTCTATCGACTTAGAAACTTTTACTTAGTTTACATGTATTAGTTTGTGATTAAATCAGTTTAAGATGAAATGCTAAATTAATTCAATGATATTTGGTATGAAAATTTATTGGCATTTGCAAGTATCGTTTCCATGGAGATTATATAGCCCACCCCCTCTTCATGGTTCATTGACTTTGAAACTTTTACATAGTTTACAAGTTAATGTTTGTGTTTAGGTTTGTTTAAAGGGAACGACTTATAATAAGTCAATATGGTATATACGTATTTGGTATGCAGTTGTATTAGCTTTGGTACACCTCATTTACATGGAGATTGTTTAGCCATGTACGTCAGTCATGGTTCATTGACTTTGAATATTTGCATAACTTATGAAACATGTTAAAGTATTGATATTTTAATTTCAACATTTGCATAATCAAAATTACAAAAGGGCGAGACATATCTCTGTTATAACAGTTTATTAAGTTACATTGTTTGTATGCCCAGCTTTTTTAATATACAATGTATGCTTCAGAACCATGTATTCAGTTTATAATTGTGAAGTTCCTTACTACATATATATGCATCATATAATAACATGTTCTCAGAATTATCTAGTCGATCATAATATTTTAACATTGCTTATATAATATAAAAATACATTGAGTATTTCCCTAGTTCAGAAGTCACAGCAAGATTACTGGATTTTTTGTTTACACCTAATACATATTTCATAAATTTGAAATGTGATTTTTCAGATGTATCGTTTGAAAACATTTTTTCTATATAATATATTGATCATTTTTCTTACATCATTTTCTAACTCCACACCATAATATATGATTTGAAATTATTCAAACTACACTTCCAATCTTTCCATGAGTGATTTCCATCGCTTTGATTATCTTAATTATATTGTGTGAATTCTTTAAGCAAATTTTGCTGAAAGAAAACAGCATAATTGTACTGAATTAATTGTTATGATTATCAAGTAGCTACTCGGTAAAAAAAAAAAATTAATGTTAATTATAACAATCAGAGTGATCTCTCTTTATTCACGAACTGGCCCTCTATATTTTATATGTGTAAGATACAAGATATCTTATTTGCGCCAATCACGGCGCCCATTACTGCGCAGAATAATCATCGTAATTACAAAACAATATACAATACAATATATATTTGAACTAAATAAAATAACAAAATAATTGGTTATTAATGATAAGTATGATTGTTATAAAATAAGGTTTTATAAAACAAATTTAATGTAGAAAACAATATATATACATGTATAATAATATAATGATAAAATTGACAAAATTGTGTAAGGAACACACGGCAATTTATATCAAATTAGTCATGAATCCATGTTTTAGGCATATTACTATTATTATTATTTTTAGATATTATCTTTCAGTTCTTGATTTGTTTTAAATAGTTCTGTAAGCAGCTGCTGAAGGATCTCAATGACATACCTGTCCTCATTCATCATTAACCAGATGAATTTGTATTCATCATTCATAGTATTAAAATTTTTATATTTGGATTTAATTTTTTTTTAAGAAATGGTAACGCTTCCCATCATAAGATTTTTAAAAGGAAATGTAATTCATCCTCTACAGCATTGTATTATAACTTACTAATACGTTTGTTTGCCTCGACTCCATTGTATCTACCTGTTTCAATCTCTAATAAATGGTTACTTATACAAAATTAAGACATATATGTGGAGCAGGATATGGTTACCTTTCCAGAGCACCTGAGATCAACCCGATATTTGGTTGGGTTCGTGTTGCCCAGTTTTAAGTTTTCGATGTTGTGTTTTGAATACTGTTGTTTGTGATTTGGTCTTTTTTTTGCCATGGCGTTGTCAGTTTATTTTCGAATTATGAGTTTGAATGTCACTTTGGAATTTTTCGTCTCTCTTTTCAGTAAAAAAGACTTCTGCAAGCAGTTTAATCTTTCATTTTTGGTTAATTATGATTATGTTGATGATGATAAGCTTTAAGGTAGTATAGAAATTAAAAAAAAAACATTTGACAGATTTTTCCCATACTTTGCCTAAATGAAGTTTAATGTGGGCTGTTTTCAAAAATACTATAAAAAGTATCAGTCACTCAGAGATTTTTATCAAGCCACAGGTTGTGCAAAATAGACAAATTTTGTATGGAATAAACTGGAAAAAGCCATATTATGTGAATAGAAAACAAACTGATAGAATTTGAAAATATTTTTTTGCTATATAAAAATGAAGAAATTTTTTATGTACCAACCGTTATAAAATTGAACAATCTGAGTGATCTCCCCTTAAACAAAAGTCTGATTTGAATCAAAATATTATAAAATTCTGTTTTTACAAAAAAGATGTTGTAATTTTTATCGTTTAAATGTAAAGTCTTGCATATATAAATTTTATTCGTGGGGTTCAAAATACCATATGATATCGTATTTCATGATCATAAAAAAATCTGGACTTATCTTTTGCTGTCATTTATAATTACGATCGAAGATGTCAAAAGACTTCCAAATATTAGTGAGAATCTAAACTCTTTTGACCTATGAAGTCAATAGTTTAAGTATTTTCCTTTAAAGGGAAACGCAGATTTTTTGCCGCTAAAATTTGTCCTTGTGTGAAAATGTTATCATTTGCATAAAATTATGTAAGGCTGATTTAATAACATAAAATCGAATTTCACACATGTCCCTCCTCATTGTTAACCAGAATGCATGCGTTGTCGTGCATAGCATATCCTACCTTTAATTCAAAGTATCCACTAATAGGAAGAATTTTGCATTTTGTGTGGCAAGTGTTCATTTTTATCCTGTCTTGTGCGAAGTGATGTTTTATAGTTCTTGTTTATTTTCACGATCCTCCTACCTCACCATCCCCCGAAATTTAAATGGTCGTCGCCTTAGTCAATTTTTTTTCACATAGCATAGTATAAGACGATCTTTTTCGCACGGAAATTTATTTTCCTTTTTGCATACATTTGTTTCCTGCATTTTGTGTTGCAGATTATTCATTTTCATCCTGTCTTGTGCAAAGTGATTTTTCAGTTCTTATTTATTTTCAAAATCCTCCTGCCTCGCCATCCCTCCAAAAAATCAAATGGTCGTCACCTTAGTATTTTTTTTTAAGTCTTACGTTTGATTTCATCAGTTTGTTTTCTTGGACTTCCCGTTTTTGAATATACATTGGAGTTCGATATTTTTGAAAATACTTTAAAATACCACTTTGCAAGATTTTTCATTGTTTAAAAAATGTTGTTGTTGTTATAAAATCTTTTACTCACTTGGTAAGTTGTTTGTATTCGGAGAAATATTTTTTTTTCAGAAAAAAACACTCGTGCGTTTTTGCTAAAAATATCAAGTGCGGTTTATGAGAACGAAAGTTTATCACGACCAGTTCAGTGATACTGACATCAGCGTAGCAGCGATTTTACATCAACGGAAAACCACAACTGACCTTAAATAATTACATATTGGTTAGTATCTAGTCAGCGAACAGAAATGTAATGGCTGATGATCTGATATTAATTTAAGAAGCTGTCTCGGTCTACACGAAGCAAAATATAGAATATGGTCCAGAAACAGTATCAAGAAATTTTATGTTTGATATGTTCCAAGAATCTACACATCAAGAGGATCTAAGATATACATTTTTTTCCATATCGTTAAAAATGAGAATGGAAACGGGGAATGTGTCAAAGAGACAATAACACTACCAAAGAGCAGAAAACAGCCCTAGGCCACCAATGGTTCTTCAACACAGCGAGAAAATCTCGGACCCGGAGTCGGGTTTCAGCTGGCCCCTTAACAATAATGTATACTAGTTCAGTGAAAATGGACGTCGCACTAAACTACGAACCATATAAATGAGCCAAAATTTTAAAGGCATACACAACTAATAAAGGCTAGAGGTTCCTGACTTGGGACAGGCGGGGTTAAACATGTTTTGTGCGATCTCAACTCTCCCCCTAAACCAGTAGCAAATGTGGAATAAACAAACACATAGCAATACGCACAGTAAAAACTCAGTTTGAAAGAAATCTGAGTCCGATGTAAGAATAGGTAACAGAAAAAACTAAGCAAAATGACAATGATCAACATGAATAAACAAAGGACTACCAGCAGTTACTGACATGCCAGTTCCAGAACTCAATTAAACTGATTGAAAGATTATGTGTTCATTCTATGAAAATCAAGTACAATCCTTCTCGTTAGGGCTTTAGTATCATGCCATCATGAAATATACGAGAAGAACATTACCCGTATCATGCCAAAAACTGGTTTTAGATGTGTTTATTTCCGATGCAAAGACCCTATGAGTGAATCAATATTGATTCTAAAAATTGCCATCTAAAATGACATGACAACAGTATCGTAACTATATTCCTTCTTTATAAGTTGATTTAAAGGTTTGTAAGCTTTTGAGGTGAATGACGACATTTTTTGTGTTTTTGTATAGAATATTACCATAAAAGATTGAATCTGTAATACCTGAACGTATAAGACGTCTGCACGTTGATTTATGTTTACGAATAACGTTCTAGTACGGATGATGAAATCTATTAAATGTTTTGACAAATTTATGATATCGAAAACCCTAGTGTTATAATTTTTCAGTAATACAG